ATAGATGTTTCGTTTTCTAAATCACTTTGTTTTTGTCACAAATTTACAATTATAAACAGTTTTGTCGTCAATGTAGTATGCTTAAAGTGAATCATTTCTCTGGCTAGTAAATAACTGATGTATAGAAAATAAAGGTATAAAACTTAAAAGTCCTAGATCTTTTAGTCCCTTAATCTCCAATATCCTTTATTCACGTTCACGTTTTGGAATGATGACACTAGATCCACTTAGGTTTTAACTACAGTTTGTCGTGTTTATTTTACTGCGGCTTAACATAGCCAGTTACGAAACGAAGATTCGATTGCATCAACTTATGACTGTCATCCGACAGTCCATGAATTTTGCTGGGCCTATTTCTAATACATCTGTCTACTCAAAATGTCAACAATAACAATCTGCTTCATTAAATCTCGCCAGATGTAACATGGGGATAAAACGGAATAGGCACACTTCATTGTAATATCGGTAAATACGTACAAAATAAATTACTAATTATGACATGTTATTTTCCAAGAAGGTCTATATTATTTTCATAATGTTCTTAATATGACTGGTTTGTTCTACATTCTGGAATTTACCCTTCCAACATTATAACTTGTATTTTGCGTAGAGGTCAAGAGCCTTTTTACAGAAAACTGTTAGTCTAGACAGGTTGTTCTTAAATGGTATTTATAATTAGAAAAGAATAAATTTTCTGTTAAAGGCAGTAGCTAGCGTTAAATTCTGTGATTTACCATTGGTGATTGACCACATTAGGCTGGCAGTATCATGTTTCCATGTGTTTAGGTAAAGTTAGTCATAATTTATATCTTCGCTCACGTAGGATTTCATGTACTGGAGCATATTAGGTTATTAAATCGATGCAACCAGATAGCACTCGATCGTAAACCCTCCAATGTATCCTCAATTGGCGAATTCATCTGACTTTTCACTTTCTTATGTTCTTCATTCCTGCCTTAGCTAATCACGTGTCTTGTATAGCATCTGACATAAATACAAACTATTTCATTATCGAATCATATGATTGGTTAATTCACCTATTAAGGCTGTTGTAATCATGTCCATCCTGTCCGTATCACTATCATCACCACACAATCGATCATAAATATTTCCACCGTTGAAGAAATTGTTCATTTCTTTATCTCACTGGTATGGATTACTCTATGGTCTGATGGGATGAGTGTTCCTTAAATCATTGCTAATTTTAAAATTATCCTTCAAATAAATTAACACTCATGTAATACAGGAATATCCGTCGTGAATATTGCTTTCATCTTACTGTTTTAAAAAAAATGGGAACACCTGTTGAATTTTTAACACCGCTGGAAATAGAAGCTGGTAAATTAGTTTCATTTTTAGTCCCGTTGTATTTTCGTTAGATTTATTCATCTCATTTTTGTTCATGTTCATGTGATACTATGATAAAGTGAGTGACAATTCAAAGGTTATAAAACTAAGATGTTATCGAATTGAGTTGTAGTAGGGGATTTCCATTTCTAGGAATCCCTACCAAGCAAAACAGAAACTCGCGATCGCAGATGTTTTTATTTTTGTTGTCTTGCATGATTTTCAGTATCTTATTTTCATTTCATCCGTTTTAAAATGTCTTATACTAGTTTTATTAGTAAAACAAAATCATGGAGACAAATTTTAGAGACTACTAAAATTATGTTCAGGAATTTTTCTCCCGTTTCCATTCATCCAAAAAGTAATCGATGAAAATAACTAGTTTCTGATAAATAAGTGGTAGAAGACAAGTAGCTAAATTGTGTACAATGTCTTTACATGATATGAATTCCTCAATGTTACTTAGATTTTCTTGAGATTTGAGATCAAAGGAGTTGTGGTATATTATTTCATCCACAAGGCTGAAGAACACTTTTTTGGGAACCTTTGTGTGGTGTAAGATGGTTTTTCAGGTGCACCCGCATTGCTTCGACGTTTACATATTCGCCTTTGAGAGAGGGTTTACAAATGCCGCTTGTGAACAATCACTCATCTGAATCTCTAGAGGCCCTCTAGTTGCTTTTATAAATTGTTACCCCTAGCTCAACTGTTTATCAAATATAAATCAACATAGAAGTCATTCAATCTGGCACACTTCCAGCATTTTTCACGTTGGTGCATGTTCAAAATGCCGGAAATTTTGCAATTAGAATATCAACACTTACTCGTCCCATTTTTACGCTTCTACTTCCGGAAGTGCTGTCTTCTTTTAACCCAAGGAAAAACAGTAAACATCTAAGGCTACAATTACTGCCCACCATTTCTACCTATATTATACTTTCTAATGATTGTTTTATCGATCTCCACGATTCTGCCTCTACCACTAATAGGTATTGTTGTTCCCATCACGAATTCCGAGAACATGACCCTACAGTAGTGAAATCATTGTACTAATGTAACTTCGCCCAGTCCATTATTGGTCTGTTTTGATTACTTGTGCTTGGGTGATCCATCACATCCCTAGAAATCCGTACTTTTCAAAAAGCCACTTTTGAGCGAAGGAAAAAGAAGACAGTTCTTATAGACTTATTGTTCTAACATAGTAGTCGCCGTAATGTAATTTGATTGTGTTTTGTATCTTCGTTTAGTCTTAGAAATATTTTTCCTGTAAATTAGTCACTATTATAAGTATTCTTATTATCTTAATGTCATTTTGTTTGTCTTGACGTGACTGGTTGTTAATATATATATAGTCACATTTTCAAGAGTTCAAATCGATTCTTAAATGTCAATAGTACTAATTAGAAAGTTTCTATCTGATAATTCAAAAGCAGGAATGGTGAATATGTATAATGTTAATTAAACACATTCTACATCATTATTGTCTTTGTCCGTTTTGCTCCCTTTTTGAATATTCACTACACACCTACTAAACCGGATAAATTATGACAAAGTTTACTTTCAGGCAACGACTTTTACAGCAATGCAGTCGTCGATCTTAATTCCCCACACCTTATTGAAATTGTCTTAATAATTTTGCAAGTTTTTTGTCAGTAGATCATCGCATAGATGTGCAGACCTAATAAAGCTGTAAAGCCAAGTTTCGTGAACTAGGAAAACTTATGGACGAAACTATCAGATATAAGGTGGAGACCTTGGATTTTGGCGCAAAATCCATTGATCCATCCAATCAACTAGCATTTTGGCATAGTAGCTGATGTGAGTTCGTGATGAGAACTCTAACTGTAGATCATTATTCTAATTCTTTATACTAATTCATAACCCTCTCTTGACCCTAGCTAGCGGTTTAATTTCCTCAGGTCATTTTAGTACCACTCTAAGGTCGTCCGTAGACGATGGTCTTACCACATGAATCCGTGTATACTTCTAAATATTTCCCGTTAAACATATCTAGCAGTACAGTGTTTATCAGCAAATGTTTTAGCTATCTATGTGGTTATAACTTGTTTTAGTTTATTTCGCAATATAAAATCTTTATTTATTCAAAATCCTTTTGTTTAGTTGTTGTTCATTTGAGGACATTAAATAATGCACTTAACTAGTTAGTGTTTATTTAAATAGAGCTGTAGCTTACTGATTAGGGCGATCGGCTTTCAGCCACTTATTCCTAGGTTTGAACCTTGCCACACCTACTGTGCGGGCAACTGGGTAGTATAATTAGTCTTCATACTTTTTGTGTGACTAATACCCATTTACCTGATGGATGAGTTAATCGTCTCTCTATTTTCTATGCCAGACTGACTATTCCTTGGGACCTGATTGGTTCAATGCTTATTTCTTGAAGTATAGTAATCGATAACGCGTTCAAACCTTTGGGAGAGGGAGAACTAGTTCTATCAGGATTCCCGATAGTCAGTGTTTCTCTCCAAATGTAAAATGTTAATTTAAAACTGAAGCGAGTGAAAGCAAATAGTTCAGCAACAGAGAAAGAATTGTTCAGTCACGTTGACCATTTTATTAACTTGAAGTTTCTTTCGCTCTGAAGGATTAAGGACTTAGGAAATGTTTGCTAAAATAGCAAACTACTTGTTGATTTTCCGCTGACATGGACCATCTGTATTGGTCGTTTATAAAGTATAATGAGAAAGTAATTAGTAATTCGAAAACACCTCATATGTAAATCACCTATAAGCCAGTATGAAAATGTTTCTTATAAGTACATTTAAACTCGAACATTATTGTCTAGTGTTGTATCGTGTGAGTGCGTACGTGTCCTGTTAATATATGAGCGTGATAAAACCGCCAATTAGAGAGCTGTGATTTATCGACCAGAGCTATGATACACGAAAACCGTATGAGCAGTCTTTAGTAATTATCAGTCCTGCTTTCTGCTAGCCCAGCCAGTTAAGTCCAGAACACCAATAACAGCCTCTGCAATAGGAATCATTATTCTCAAACATACTGGGTTTATATACCAAACAAACTGACCATATCGTACCATAAAATAGAAAATAACATTTGTACAAAATTTGGCCAAATATGGCTGTGAATAGGGGGAAAAGTAATTAATGGACTGGGGTTAATTCAAGAATGGTAAATCGTATAGTAATAGTTCATAGGTCAAAATAAAGCTTATGATAAGACGAACACAAATACGAATAGTTTAGTTACTTAACAATTATACAATAGGAAATATGCATATAGTATTGGTTCATAAATAGTCCTCAAAGTTACCATTCATAATTCTCCACGGGATACAACATCTAGGTCTAATTTTAGTTAGATAAAATTTTTCTAGAAATTTTGGAGTATTAGTATGAGTTACCAAAAGTTTGTTATTTTTCGTATAAGATACAAAAGTTGTGTATTTTTTGATAACATTCAGTAAATCCTGGCAAAATTCAGCCGTCCCATTTTTAAAAAATATCTTCAATTAATGTAGAACCTCTTGAACTTCTAGTTCACATAGATTTTAAATGTTATGAATAGTTTCAGTGTCAATTTGTATTTAAACATGGTTTTTTTCTGTTCCATTCAATTTTATTTCTCCTGAACAATTGGTCCATATTATTATTATTATTATTATTATTATTATTATTATTATTATTATTATTTCAGGACACCATTTGCCATCTGTATTTTGATCACCTTTCACAATAGATTCGTCCATTTTATGCTAATTTTATCATAAACTGGTCACACCCTTATATACTCATTACTATTATTAATCTTTGTCTGGTGTGAGTTAATTTAAGAACTAATTTTCATTTGTTTACCAACTTTGTTTATCCACTAACTTTTCTTTGTCTAATAATGAGTATTTTTAGAAATAAACTTCTCAGATTGTTAACTGTTGATAAGGGGAATTATTAGATATTGTTTTGTAGTGCGCAGATTGACTTAATGCGCAGGTATAGAGTTCATAAGTTGGAATATTACTAGGATATATTTGTGTATCCCTGAATTGTCACCATAAATAATAAACGTTCATTATCTGTTTATACTGAGATATTTATCTTCCAGAACTACTAATAACCCATAAATTGAGCTATGTGAAGTATGTAATGAACCCAATTACACTATATTTCTCAGCTTAGAATAGTAAAATATATGAACTATTGGATTTCAGTCTATTAATTGGAAAACGGCTTCTTAACAACGATACTCAAAACACCTCAGGCTCTCTGTTGTAGAGGTTAGATCGCTCGAACTCGTAAGAAGTCTGAAACTAAGGCAAAACATCTAGTAAATGCATCTTACTTTTTTTACTCGTTTTTTTCCAGTTTATGTTGTACTGAAATTAACAGGGCCCACTGAGTTACAGGTTTATAAATCCAACCAGTTTCAAGTAATAGGACAAGTGTGGGGAACTGAAAAGTATTAATCTAAGCTTATTTTTCGTGGTTGTTATAATGTTTAGTCAGAAGCAGTTATTAACGTTATGATTCACCCCACTAAGTTATGAGTTATTTTAAAGTTACTTTTCACATAAATCTTGTCTAATGTTAGTTTTTCACCGTACTAATATGAACTCTTATCTATAATCATATAGGTACGGAAGCTAAATAAGTCATTGCAAAGTATGATTGAACTAGTGTCGTAATAGCGTATAAAAGTTGGATATCATTAGGCTTTTTGGAAACAAGTGTTCTACTCTATGAGAATGACATCAAAACGGAAGTATTGTAGAATAAGAATAGGTCAAAGCTTCTGTATTTAAATAGATTTCACAATAAATGACATTTTAGCAATCAAATTATAATTAATTCACCAGAAGCGGCCCATTCTAAGTTGAGTTTTTTATTTCCACATATCCTATTAATCGATTGCATTGTGCAATAAAACAGCCAGGAATGTAAGAAAAAGAGACTACGACCGAATCACAACTGAATTCTTTTAACATTTCTTTTATTCAATTGTTGGTAGTAGTGGTAATATGCATTGTTCAACTTATAAGGAGTATGATTCTGTTATTTTTTTGCATCTAAGTAGAGAGTGAATCGATTATTCTAATTGAAATAGATTATTTATAAGTATGTGTATAATTATATGTATTGTCTGCTTGTGTATCTAATTAACATTGTATAATTATTGATACTTCTTTTTTGTACTACAGAGATTTATTTTCTGATTGTATCTCTTGGTTGAGAAATTTCATAGTTATGCACTTGTTATCGTAATAGTTTCTTTTGATAAGACATATTGTTGTTTTTCTTCATTTCACCCTAGATAATAACATAAAATGTCATTATTGTTATTTATGTAATTTTAAAACTTTTTATTATCCATGTATGAATACTTGTGGATGACTTGTCACTAATAATAAGTATTGTTATAAGCATCAATTCTTATTGCAAAAGATGTCTAATAATTAGGCGTTGGTTTGTTTTAATGCTTTACGTATTGTTGTTGTTATTATTATAAGTCTCGATTGACCTTTGTCTCTTATGCCACCCACAACATAGGTTACCCCATCAATTTCAAGTGATGACATTAGATTATACCTCAAAGGTATGACATAGCGTATTTTTCAATTTGTCTTGAAATAATTTGGAGACGATTTTGTCTTTAGTATTTTTGATTGTGTCACATTCTGTGAATTAATTAATTGATCATGTCACTTAAAAACACCATCATACCTTTTTTTAACCCAAAGAAGAAGGAAAAATCACCCAAAAATATATGAATTGCTCATGGTACCCTGAAATTGTTCAAAGATCGTTTTCTTACTTATTTGATTTTAATAATACACATCTGTTGTATTAAGTCTGGTAATACTACAGTTGCAATCGCTGTAATCGATGGAATAGGTGAATTGACTTGGAACTTGTTTCTTCATTAGTTAGAAGTTTAGTGTTTATACCATAATCCAACTACTTCGGTTATTTGATAGGATTATCAGTTGCTGAACATATATAACACTACAATTATGTACTTTTTCCATCAGGAGTTTTTATCTGGTACTATTTATAATTGACTTAATAAATAATGATGGCTTATCGCAGGAATGAAGGCTTTTTCAACCAAAGAAAATAGGTTTTTTGGTAGAATTACCATGTTTCCAGTACGAGAATGGTCATTCATCAACTTCTATTCTAAGACGTTGAATTGAGATGGATTGGGGTGGAGACTAATCGTCATTTGATGGTGCATTAGTTGGTTGGGTTGCCTGTTTATTTTCTTATTGATGAAAATCAACAAGTGTGGATATCTGAAGTCTCTACATTTGACACAGACAGCGATGTATTCTTACCTGGGCTTCAACGATTTATCATCACTTGCACTCCGTTTCCTTCAGTCTTTTTTTTCAAAGTTCCCATTTTGTATTGACGTGTACGAGTAACATGTTTTTAAAACGGGAATAATTTTTAAAGGGTATTAAATTATCCCACCACCTCAGTGTACGGTGGTAATGTGAACCAAGCCCTTGTTGCATCAGTTACTTCATTCAACCAAATATGGTGATTGTGCTATTAGTTTACTGTCAACATGTTATATGATCAAAGGTATATGCGACATTACGTATCATTATGTCGATTTTTGTAAAGCTGTTTTGATCGATCTTTTAGGTTAAGTTCAGCAAATCATTAATCTTGTTTTGGTCAACATTGTTTTTTGTACTTATCTCGTTTATTTACTCATTTATGCTTACCTTTCTAAGCTAAACCGTCAGTTCATGTCGATCCAGTTTCTTTTCAACACAAGAACTTCAAGATTTTAATTTAAACGATGGTAGAGGATTGCCAACCGTAGGTGGGTAATATATGCATGCGTTCTAGATACCATGTTTTTCTCGAGTAAATCATGATTACGAGCCTATTCTTGTTCATGTCTTTCTTTAAAACTCTACAGTGGTTCATTAGTGAATGGGGCATTGTAAGGCTGAAATGTCGTTGAGCCTAATTAAAACGTAATAGTTGAGATCATGGGTCAATTGAACTTAGACCACCATGGAGAACCTGGAAGCACTGGACAGCCGTTTCGTCCTATCGTGGGACTCCTCAGCAGTGTGCATCCACGATCCCGCCTCGCGAGATTCGAACCCAGGACCTATCGGTTTCGCGTGCGAACGCTTAACCTATAGACCAATGAGCCGACATCCAACGGTGTTCATATCTTACTTCAACGAATCCAAAAAATTGGGCAACACATCCACCATTGTTCCACAATAGGACGAAACGGCCGTCCAGTGCTTCCAGGTTCTCCATGGTGGTCTAGGTTCAATTGACTCATGATCTCAACTATTAAAATTACTATAATATCCACAAAAACCTCTTCTGATATTAAAACGTAATATTTTAAGAAAGAGAACTTATAAAAGAACTAAGTATGCCGATAGAGTTGGGACCATTTCTAAATAACTGTAGAGCTTTAAATCATTTGAACATATTGATCCATCTCTAAGAGGCGTCGATAAATTATCTTCCAAATGATTTTCTAGCCTAAATGATCCTGTTTACTCGTAATAGTAAAGATACATTTTTTCATTTTCGAAAAAGAAAATGATATTATAGATTATTTTGTGGATTGATTGATCGACTTCAATTCCGATAATTAGAATGTTCTATTGTTTTTTTGTGGTTTGGCAATGTTTAATAAATTTTGGAATGTAAATGTATATATGACCTTGGTTATTCTAAGTTTTAATAATTCTGTAGTGATTTGTCATCTAATATAATTTTTCATCATACTTAGTCTTATCTTGGAAAAGATACTCTGTAGAGCAGTAAGATAGATTTATTGCAATAATTTAACTTGTTCGGTAATAAGTATAGTACCTTTAATAAATCCCAAATGAATTCAATTGTTCGATAGTAATTGGTGTCTATCACAACTTTTTCATAGCGTACACTTTTGCTTATGTATAAAATATAACTAAGGATATATCTAATACCGAGATAAGAAGTTTCTTAACGTTACTTTCTCTATTTGGTTATGTTTAAAACATAACTTTTATGTCAGTTTAGTTGTACTAACAATAGTTCACCAAATTGAATTGGGTAAGGTAAAACTCAAACGTGATTACGCTACTACTACTCACTCATGATTTCACTCGCACTTTATAACGTCTATTCATTTAATACAAATGGTCTACTTACGAAACTATTGATTTCTATCATGAAACGTTTTGTTTGGAGAGTAGCCAATTTATTTGTCATAATATCTGTCCCAATCAGTATGATAAACCGTTATAACTTGTGCCCACCCATTGTCCTGTTAATGTGTAACGTGATGTTGCCACCAATTAGAGAGCAGTGAATTATCGATCAGACCAGTGAGCAGTTTAGATTACTTATCGGTCCTGCTTCCTGCTTAGCCCAAGCAGTCAAGTCCGGAACAGCCTCTGCGGTGTGAATCGTTTATTTCAAACATACTGGGTTTATATACCAAACAAACGGACCACATCGTACCATAAAATAGAAAATAACATTTGTACAAGATTTAGCCAAATGTGGCTGTGAATGTGGGATGCAGTAATTAATAGACTAGGGATAACTCAAGAATGGTAAGTCGTACAATATTAGTTCACAGGTCAAAATAAAACTTATAATAAGAGGAACACGAATACGAATAGTTTAGTCATTTAACAATTATACAGTAAAAATATACATATAGTATTGGTTCATAAATGGATCCCAAAATTACCATTCACTATTCTTATCGGGGCATGACAACTACCGTCTTTTTAACTATACAATGAACATTTATTACTACTACATATATTTATGTGAAAAGACTCATATTTGAACGAAGAATATTCTTTTCAATAAACTCTTCAGGTTCTACGATTATATATCCAAATTGATAATCTGAAAAGTGGCCAGGTTTAGAGCAAAGTGCATAGTTTAGTTAAAGCATATGAATTTACGACTGCTGAACAATATAAAATTGTTCATGTTGAAATGACTCATATGTAATGTTAACTTGAATCAGTTAGTAGGGTGAGGAATAATAGTACAATTACAAATATTTATGTGTCAGTGCATAATCGTGTACCTAATCAAGCGATTCTTTCATATGCATTCGTTTTACTGCTCTACATTTAATCTTTTGGATTTCCAGGTAAATATTTCTGTGTACAATGTTAATTTTTGCATTTTTCTTTCAGTTCTTTGTGGTCTAAGAGTTAGTCAGATGGCTCAAACTTATGAAGATTTGGATGCTATTACACAACTGTTAGAGGAAGTAAGTATTTATTTTTATTAGCAGTAATGGGAAACCAAACTTGAAGTGAGGATTTATGATGTCGAAAGATTTATATAGTCTATTTTGACGTTCCATTCGGGCTGTTAATTGTTTAAAAAGTTTTAGTATGTGAATATCTTTCGAAACTAAAGATGTGAATTTCCAGTAGGTTTTTTCATTTATTTTATTACAAATAAGTGTATAAAAATTAATCAGGATTTGGACGGAGTTTGAATATTCAGACTGTTTTTAATAGCTCTTACAGTTTGTTTCTTTTAGGTGTGGCTAAACTGTTTCATAGTTAGTTCGAAAGCTTCACTAATTATCAATATAAACTTTCTTAATTTAGTTCTTACTCTGTAAATGTATTTAGTATAACAAATTTACTTTTATAGTATACAAAAATTCCTATCAATGTATATATATAATGCTAATAATGGGATTTTAATAAACTTCAAATATCAATGAGAAATGTTTTCTGCCATTCTTCATTATTCTGATAATTTCAAAAAACCTAGTATCGATTTATAATTCTTGCGTAAAACAACCATTTGTTTCTTAGAATCATTTATTCTCCTAATACAATTTCAAAATATTTCGTAGTTGAATTCATGAGTCCATTATAGCTAAACCACCATTGAAAACCTGGAAGCACTAGACGACCGTTTCATCCGAGGATGGGACTCTTCAGTAGTGCACATTCACGATCCCGCCCGCAGGATTCGAGCCCAGGACCTACTGGTCTCGCGCGCGAACGCCTAACATCTAGATCACTGAGCCGGCATCCAACGGTGTTAGTGTATAACTTCAACCAATCTTCAAATTCCGCGGGCGGAATCATGGATGCGCACTGCTGAGGAGTCCCATACTGGCACGAGACGACCTCGCAGTGCTTCCAGGTTTTCTATGGTGGTCCAGATTTAATTTACCCATGAATTCAACCATGAAATTACTAAAATTCCCACAAAATTCCTTCTGATTCTAAATATTTGTTATCCTATACTATAATCTAGAAACAAACAGATCTTGAATTGGCAGCGAAGATCGGTAAAAATCTGTTGGCGAAAAATCATGACCTTCAGTCGAGACTATTGGAGACTGAGAAGAATCTTAATGCACGTGATGAAGTTGTAAGTTGTTGTCTTTATTTGTTTTATTTGTGAAATTTTATTCCACGTATTATGTAATCAAGACAAGTAAAGAAAAGACAACTCATACCTTTTGTTTTCAATGAGTTATATTTTTTAAAATCTATTGTAGGAGTTTTCTTCAAACCACTTTCGGTGATTTAAAAAATGATTTCCTTGTTTCTTACGATCATAGCTATTTCAGTATGGATGTTGTCGCTGAATTTTAATATAATGTTGATTCTCTGTGTCTTTCTTAAATTCCTATTCATTGTTGCTTATTCATTATCTTTTTTTGTTATGTTACCGTCTGCTGAACAATTTCTAAATATAGTAAAGTTAATATTTTATTTATAGTATTAATAATTAAATTTAATTAATATCAGAACAATGTTTTATAGATACATGCCTGTTTGTTTACTTGGATTAATAATGTACTTTGTGTGGTGATGATTGTTCTTAATCTAGATCAAGTTGTTTTGTTGTTGTAAGTAGCTGCTACTTTGACGTGGTGGTCGAGCTTGCCTATCGTGAGAACCCAACCGAACTATATTGGCTGAAACATATGTTCCCGTAGGTTCTACTATGCCAGCCAGGTCGAGTTCCATCTCGTTGCATCGATTAAGTAACCTAATATGCTCCAGTACATGAATTCCTACGTGAACGAAGATATCAATTATGACTAATTTTGCCTAAACACATGGAAACATGATACTGCCAACCTAGTGTGGTCAATCAGCAATGGACAAACACAGAATTTAACGCTAGGTACTGTCTTCAACAGAAAATTTATTCTTTTCTAATTATAAATACCATTTAAGAACAACCTGTTTAGACTAACAGTTTTCTGTAAAAAGGCTCTTGACCTCTATGCAAAGTCCAACTTAATATATTGGACGGGCGAATTCCATAATGTAGAAAGAACCAGTCACTGACAGGTGGACTGAGGCATGTTGGTAGATGTAGACTACCTGGTTGGGACCCACGAGACGATAGTAACAGATGGTTAGAGACCTTGAATGACATGGCTCAAAATCGTTTGCGATGACGAAGGTGCATCCACTCTTTGTGTTCTCCCAAATTATAATCTTCTGAATTCTTCATGTCCCTTTCTTTTTCTCTTTCCAAATTTATTTCACTGGATTATACGCCTTGAATAACATCTTCAAACCCTAATATTTCCTATTACTGCCTATATTCTTACCATCTCTACCACTATGGGATTTCAATCGACAACTGCATCTCTGTGATAATGTGGTATGGCAACTTGAACTGATGTATGTACGTACGAAGTTCTATGTTGTGACTGACTGAGAATAAAATATTAAACTATTGTCACTATCTATCTCTGATTTTTTTCCGCCTTATTAAGTAAACTAAAATGGAAACAGAATTGGCGAGATCACATTATCAGAACTGTGGTTTTAGCTTATACAGTTTTTTTCTCATATCACTTAGTACTAGCGACATGAATTAAGTCAAAAATTAGTTATTTGGTCCTTGATATATATATATATATATATAATGACATAGTCTGTTTATCGTACTTTTTTTTAAAATACTGATTTAGTTTACAAGACAGCAAATCTTCTAATGTATAAGTAATCAGAGTTGTGCAGTCTAGGATTCGTCAGTCTGGGTTATAAGGTTCATTGTTATACAGTTAAAATGTAACTGAGTTTTTCAAGAGAACTTTACTATGAATTAATCTCGAATGATTTAGCTACACAAGGCCATTTTTTCATAATTCATTGTAAAAGAGCACCAGGTCGGTAATTCAATAAATTTCCATTCCCTCCTATTACTAACATAGTAAAAATGTAAAGTGTATAAACTGTGCTATTTGTATACACCTTATCGACTTTGATGAACTTTGTTTCTTGTATGTTGTTTCAGATTAGTCAGCTAAATCATAATCTCACTGTCAAAGATAATTTACTACGTATATTCCTAAGAGATTCCGATCAAATTACTGATATTAATGATGATGAAGTTAGCGTATTATCCAGTGGACGTGCATCACCTGTTCGCAGTCAGCAGGGATTATCGTAAGTTTGTACTCGTGAATAGTTTTTTTCTCTTTTTTATTGATATATTGCTCATTTAGTTACCTTGTAAGAATTACAACTCAGTAGTTTGATCATCTGTCAACATTCTGATCAGAATTTCTTATGCTCACTACACAATAGCTTCAATTTTAACACATAGGGTTTCGGAGCTACGTCAGTTAGTAAAAAACGATACGAATATTAATTATTAATCGTCTTTTACATTGTAAATATATGACTTAGATAATGACATGTTTTTGAAGTATCTCATCGTCTATTGCTTACTTACTGAACTAAATTGACTACTCACTATTGGCTTAAAGTTTGCTTAAGTATTAACGTTTTGTGTATGCTGATAAGCACTGGATTTGGTTTCTCCGTGAATGCCGGTACTAGGATCCACTTGGATCTAGATGAGAAGTCCTAATTAAAAGGAAACATGTTTACTATATGTATGGTGGCAAGAGCTACTAATGATGAATCAGCTATTGCTTACTAAGAATCCATCAAACTTTTGCATGTGTAATTTTCGTTTTGAGTATATATCGTTATCTACTTCAGTACTACAGCTATATGTGACTTATTTTCATTCATTTGGTTCCTCATAAACACAGACGATGTCACAAATATGTACTGCTTCATGTAAACACAGTCGTAGTCCAAATTAAATTACATATATCTGTTCGTGACATAGTTGGACAAAGGCAGATGACAATGTGCAGTTTTATACAGCCGTACACCCTACCGATGTTCTGTACGTAGTATCACACAAAGTTAGTCAGTACGCAACAAGTCGACACGTTTCTCATCAGTTCATTGAGAGGAAATAAGCAAGATACAAGGTAGAATATTGAAAATAGAGATGTGAATTATGGTAGATAACTTGATTTAGTGGACCGACCAAAGTCGCCAAGTGGAAATACTACTTTGTTCTAATCAAAAGTGTAATTGACAGATTCATATTATTGGCTGTGAAATGGTTTCATTTTCTATGTATACGCGCATATTTGCATCAATGGGCGCTCACCCATGGATTCCGTTAAGCCTATTAAACTTTCTTCACATAGTCTTCTCATTCAGTAGCCAGTTTGGGGCTTGCATATAGAAAGTTTGTGCATCAGTATCGGACTCGGTACACTGATTCAGAAGTAATGAATAACATATTAAAATTGAAGATTTATTAAGGGATAAACAACAGCTGATTTTCATTCACATCACTCGATGTTTTCAACCATATAGGTCGCTATTATTGCACTTTCTCTAATCAAGTTTTTTACGTCTTACAATGTCACCACTAAAGCCAACGGTTAATGACTTGATGAACACATGATATGTCTTGCTTTGTTTACCACTAGACATTTTTCAAACTACTCTTCATGCTAGCTTCCATTGTATTTCACATTGATTTTGTGATAGTGTCTACGTTATGTATGATTCAAGTAATCCAGTCGATGAAAGTTCAAAGCTTCATTTTAACCTATTCATTATTACACATTTGGTCATTCATCCGAATGCAAGGAATGTTTCACAAAGCCATCTGTAGTCAAATAGTAACAGTTTGCGCATATCATCTGTCTGTTTGAATGTCTATTTTTCCATGCTCCTATTACTTAAAACTTCTTAGAGCAAGTATAATAAACTTGATTTCCAGTAGTTATACACTTATTTTCTAACATTATCAACCCTATTCATAAACAACTTGTTTTCTACTCTATCTGATATTTTTCAAGAAAGCACTTGAAGAGAAAAAGCAGTTGATTCTTCAAAATTGTTTTACTACTATTTTATTACTACTATTTTACTACTATTTATTACTATTTCAACGTAAAAAGTAATCTATAAGTTGCCTACTTTTTTAATAGAAAATAAATGCATTCAGTCCTGTGGTTCATATCCATTAATGAGTCATTTGGCTGTTTGCTTGACCTTAATGTTGATTATTAATGATTTTGGGGCAGACCAATTAACTATTGATTATTTATCATTGTTGAAAGCGTGAGTCAATTGAAGCTAGACCACCATGGAAAACCTGGAAACACTGGACGGCCGTTTCGTCCTATTATGGGACTCCTCAGCAGTGCGCATCCATGAACCTGCTCTCGCGAGCGAGATTCGAACCCAGGACCTACCAGTCTCGAGCCGAAGCCCTTAACCGATAGACCACTGAGCTGGCATCCAACGGTGTTAATGTCTAACTTCAACTGATCCACGAGTCCCATAATAGGACGAAACGGCCGTCCAGTGTTTCCGGGTTTTCCATGGTGGTCTAGCTTCAATTGACTCACGCTTTCAACAATGATAAATACTAAATCTCCACAAAACCCCTTCTATATTGATTATTTGTCTGACTTTTTTAAGTAAAATGTTTCTGCACCCGTTGACTCATTCTCAACCATTTGTGACTGTGCCTTAACATTTCCCTTTTATAATTACCCTGGTACTAAACTTAATCTTTTTCTTTTCTGAATAATTTTATTATATTCCAGCCACAGAACTGTTATTCCAAATGATGGACAGTGAGTGTTTAGGGAAAGTTATATTTTAAACGATAACAGGATAGTTTGGGAAAAACAAACGTTAGAGTTGTATTTTGTGTTTGATAGCAGTTTTCATTTAGTAGTATATAAAAGAATATGTCTTAACTAGTTAACATATTTTATTCATTTTTATCCTAGTAATACTTTTTTAGTAGTGTAAAGACTGTTATTTTGTACTTTTGCATATTCTCAACCTTTGCTCAATGATCTCCTTTGTAAATGCTACATATTATTTCTGTTATTCCATCGTTGTTTTTTTAAAATATATGTATGCGTATATAAGTTAAACTGTAAATAGAAATCATGTGATTGTCAGTTTATTCAATTGATTCTATTACATTTTACTAATTAATCTCATCTTTATACAGTTAGTTATTTCTTTCTGTGAGGCACAACACGTATTTATTTTTATTTTCGATGATATAAAAGAAAACGATTGGGACTGAAAACTAACTGTTGTCGAATTTATTGTTCTTTTACCCGATAAATTGAAGTGTACAGAATTCAGTTATTTACTAATTTTAACCCGTAACTGTGGGTACCAATTGTCTCACCTATTCATCATTACTATTCTCTCTCCACAATAGTGTTTGTTCAGCTTAGTTTTCTTGTTGCAATTTGGATGAGATTGAACTAAACATCGGAGTTCAGTTAATTGCTAATAAGAACTGACAATTATTGATCTGATCACTTTAAAAGCTTTCTAGGTAGAACACCTGTTAAACTGTTTGTGTTACTACATAATCCAACTTTCCTCTCATTTACAGTAATCCCCATTTGTCCCGTTGCGTTTTACTCTGTGGATTTAAATGTTTTTAACCTTCATTATGCACTTAGTATGTGTTGTTTTGGATTGAAAAAGCTTAGTTAGTTATCAATTATTCTGTATTTCTGATTGCGTCATTTAGTTAATTGTAAACATTCTTATGTTTCAGTCAATAGTAGTTGCAAACTGACAAATATATGTGGTGAATCTAAAGATATTGTTTTATTCCATCAACTAAATAACATTTTGTTTAGCATTAACTTAGCCATATATACAGTGAATGCTGGAGATTTGATTGTTCATACAGTCAATCCTTAGCCATTGAAACTCATTAAATCAGTAGCAATATGGAAAGATAATTTATCTTAATGTCGTTCATCTATTTATGTCTATGAGTGGTGGTATTTATTACTCTTAACCCCATTTACCAGTTAAATATTTGTGTATTTAGCTTCCAGCCATACTTTGGGTATTAGAGCTAGTGATATTATATAGCTCTCCGAACTGAGTCAGATTTAGCGGGGTTGGAACCTGTGACTTAGTGACTAGATGTTGAACACCCTAACTACTAAGCCGCCACTCCGACATTATGTGATTACCAACATTCATATCTACTTCTTGTTAATCCTCGTTTACTTTATTGATAGAGTCTTCTCGTTATCTACAAAATTCTTGATGGTAGAAAACATGTTAAGTTATTTACCTCAGTCAGTCACAACATAGAACTTCGTACGTACATACATCAGTTCAAGTTGCCATACCACATTATCACAGAGATGCAGTTGTCGATTGAAATCCCATAGTGGTAGAGATGGTAAGAATATAGGCAGTAATAGGAAATATTAGGGTTTGAAGATGTTATTCAAGGCGTATAATCCAGTGAAATAAATTTGGAAAGAGAAAAAGAAAGGGACATGAAGAATTCAGAAGATTATAATTTGGGAGAACACAAAGAGTGGATGCACCTTCGTCATCGCAAACGATTTTGAGCCATGTCATTCAAGGTCTCTAACCATCTGTTACTATCGTCTCGTGGGTCCCAACCAGGTAGTCTACATCTACCAACATGGCTCAGTCCGATTGTCAGTGACTTCATGGATTTGTGCCATGTTTTGATCTGACCGCCTCTACTTTCTTTCAACCCACTCCTACACCATAAAACATCGCACGTCGGTAGTTGGGCATACGTAACACATGTTCCAGCCAACTCGACTGATGAAGTTTCACTACTTCGTCAATCGATTTGCCATCCTTACCTAGTACCCGTTTCCTAACATCTGCATTACTTACCCGGTGGTCCCAGGATATACGAGCAATGCGTCGAAGACACCTATGATCGAACACTAGTAGCCTACGAATATCCTCTACTCTTATCGGCCATGTTTCACTTCCATAAAGTAGGACGGAACGGACTGCTTCACAGTAAACCCGTCCTTTTGTTGCTAGACGGATATCTCGCCTACGCCATAAATGATGCAAGTTGGCGAAAGCTGGTCGAGCCTACTGTATCCGTGCTGAGATTTCGTCGCAAACGAGACCACAAAAGCTGATGAGTCTCAAGATAAGTGAAGCTGTCAACACGCTCAACTACTTCACAGTTAGTTACTTGTTTTCATTACATATCATTCTTAATTATAAGTTTATGTCAACATTATGTGGTATGTCTCATCCTCATATGTCTGTAACCAAACCATTATTTGTTCCCACTTATCTTTCTAAGCCGTACTGTTTTCTCTGCAGATAGAATGTCTTTGACTGTTATTGTTTATCTACAACATGGTCGCTTAGTGATTTTTTTCAGTTATCGTTGTAGACATTTAGGTAGTGTTTCTAAGACAGCTTTTTCTCCACATTATGGGTTCATAAGCATTCGTTTCTTTTGCCCTAGAGAATTAAGTCTTTGTTCTTGTAGTTTCTCTTCTGCTAAATTTGTATTTTTTTTCTCTACTCATCTTTATCCTCATTGTTTAGTATGTTTTAAAAATGTTAAATACACCACTATGATTATTGCTTCACACACAGATTAGGATAATAGCGAAAAAAGTCTACTGAATAACGACTTGGATGTCTAGTCTAATTTGTTGCTTGTCATTAGATGATGTTCGTGTGTTACGTCGGAATATTGTTAGAAAATGATCAGATTTTTTAATATTCTATCTTTTTGGTAACGCTGTTATAATTCAAGATTTCTCGTGGTTATATGATGAAAACATTATGTTATGCAATTTTCCACCCAAGAATCCTATTTTGTAATTCATTAGTTTTATGAAATGGATTGTTTCTTCATCTCTCTAATATTTTCCTGTATATATATGTATATGTAGATTGCTCAAGTCATGTGATCTTTGGTGTGTAGGTTCTTTCTTTTGTCATTAAAATGCTAATTTTGTCAATATAATGACTTTTCTTATCTGATTGATAATTTAACGATATTTTTTTTACTTTACCTATGATTGATGTGAAATTATATTGAGAATGTACAAATGTACTTTAATTAATTGTTGACCAACTTATAAACGAAATTACTAGTTAAAAATAGATGAATACGAAATTATTATGTTCCGTTTTTTTATTGTGTAACATTTTATATTCTTTATCTTTCACATTGAAATTCCTTTAAATCATCACATATTTCAATTAACACTTCTAATATTTTCTACAGACTATAAAAAAGTGGATCACGGTGTGATGTTTATAGGGTTATTATGAAACTGTATAATAATAATAGTAATGATGTTCAGTTAGCTTTTATGATTTGCTTAGTTATGTAAAAGTGTTTGACTAAAACAGTAGACCAACCTTCTAGCTTTCCATATTGGCTTTATTTGATACGTGTGCACGAATCGTTTTTTTAAAATAACAATTTATCTTTATGTGAAGATTTATGTTGAGAATAATTGTTCAAAACATTGAAGGAATCTTGTAAGTAAAGATGAATAGTGGTTAGCAGTGGAATCCAAGACGCTCGTTTCGTCCTATTTAGGATGAGTCAGCTGGATGTACCTACATTTCAGAGTTGATATTCACTCCATTACTCGAACCCAGTACCTTTCGCTTCAAGCGCCATCGCGTTATCCACTCGGCCACTGAGTCCTGATAGCCACTTGCTTGTGCAATGGGGTGAAGTTTATCTACTGCTAGCCACTATCCATCTTTGCTTACAGTGCTTGTGAACTTAGGCTATATCGAGGCAATACGCACAGTATGCACATATGCCAATTAGAGACTGACCAGTTGCAGTCCTAAAACATCAATGGGAAGATTCAAACAAACAATACTAAATGAATTGAAGGAATCTGATCATATGTTTCGTATTATATTTATTTTAAAATAATCTACTTCGAGATATTTTCATGTTATTTGTCTGTATAACAGAAGTGTCATAAATAACGGATTGTACCTTTAGTGTTGCAGATATTGACTGCCCTGTCAGTCACTGTGACAGATTGTCATCAGTTTTTTTTATCTCATAAGATTACTTAGGTTTTTTAGCCAAATAAAACTTTGGGGTAAGATTATTGTATTATTATTCACTACTTATATACTTTTAGTATAATAGTTGTTGAATTGTTATTATGGTTTGTTGTGCAGACTGTTGGGTTTACACTTTCACATCAGGAAGCACTTGACATCTGTTTTGTCCTACTATTTGGCCCTCATTTGTGCACGAATAGATTGAAATTAGATACCAGCTCGGTTATCTGTAGGTTAATTGTTCGTCATAAGGTTTGAATATCCTGTGTTTGATCCCAAGTGAGGTTGATTCAAAATATTGAGCGATATCATATTAATGTGAAATGGCTTCTCAGTGCTTCCTCATCTTTGATGATTATCTAACGAAGGTAGATCATGATATGGCACATCTAACTAGCAGAATATTTTCTTACAAAACGATTCACAGTTTTATATTCATCTTTTTTCAAACTGTAATATCATGTTATTGATGTACCTCCGTAATACTTGATATTTCATGAGATTAGAATTGTACGAATCAGTATTGATTAAGATTTCAGCAGTCAATGCATATGTACTCTTACTGACTTGTTGATCTGTTACATTCTACAGAGTTATTCAATACGTATACATAAATTTTTGAAGTTTGGTGTAAAGACCATGCAAATTGAAGTTTCATTTTTATTTTATTCACGGAAGTTTCATCTTATTTTTCTTATATTTTATTAATTATAGGAGGGGTTTTGTGGAGATTTAGTATTTATTATAGTTGAAAGCGTGAGTCATTTGAAGCTAGACCACCATGGAAAATCTGGAAACATTGGACGACCGTTTCGTCCTATTATGGGACTCCTCAGCAGTGCGAGACTGGTAGGTCCTGGGTTCGAATCTCGCGAGAGCGGGTTCGTGGATGCGCACTGCTGAGGAGTCCCATAATAGGACGAAACGGCCGTCCAATGTTTCCAGGTTTTCCATGGTGGTCTAGCTTCAATTGACTAACGCTTTCAATTATATTTTATTGTTGTTCAATATTCAGGGATTTCTCTGTTTGTTTATACTCTGCTTCTAACTGCTTTCTTCAGAAATCCAAATTGATGATTGATTCTAAAGACTTTGTATAAGTAATAGCATAGTAGCTAACATAAAAATGTTTCAGTAGTTATTTTGTGCATTGAGTGTGTGTGCAGGTTAAAAGATGTTTTATCATCGACAAGATTTTTTATTTCGGGAATGTTAATCCTTGAAGATTTATTTATATTTTGTGATATTCTGCTTTGCTTATGTTTAATTGGTTCCCCCTTTAGGGAATTCTACTTCTTCATATTGGATCGTCATGTCCTTTTCAATTGAGGTTACTGTATTAACAGTTATTGATTTATTGCAAATTCTTGTCTGCTGAATATCAATATTGATTACAAATATACTTGAATATTTGGATGTTCGAAAGGATAAATCCAGTTCTCTGGATATATTGCATCAGTTTCTTATGTATGATGTTAGCTGAGTTAAAAGGAAACGAACTGTCGTTATTTAGTCATAAATAAATAATATTTAGCAAAGCAATCGAAAATCTTTCGGTGGTGAACGGGATCTTTTGTTTCCATGTTTTTTGTGTTTGTGGAACAACTGATTGTTCATTGATATTTGATTTTATATTTCTTTTAAAATATCCTTATCATTACGATAGGTCTAGTGCCGGAGGAGGTGATGGATTTTCCTTGTCTTCAGTCAACTTCGCACAGTTGCATAAAAAACTTGGAGATCTAGAAGAAGAAAATAACTTACTGCGTCAAGAGGTATGTGTGTATCGATTTTGTGTCTGAATGTTAACATTTATTTTATGGTATATTTAGGTCTCCCCCAAATTTTATTATTATTATTATTATTATTATTATTATTATTATTATTATTATTATTATGACGTTTTTCGTCCCAATATTATTGTGACTAGATAATGCCTACGTGGTTGACATATTTCTAACTGGTTGCTCTCTTTTGTAAAGCACTTATGTCCAACTCTTCTTATGGCGACATTGGCTATTCAGACAGGCCCCGACTGTTGAAATCCTCTTACGTATACTGTTAAACTGTCCGTGAATTAAATTCCAGTAACCTTGACCTCGATTTTCTCGTCCCGCTTTACTTCCTATGTGTATACTCGACATTAAATGAAGTGCTAAGTCTGGGTTTGGGGTTGTTCTTTGTGCCTTCAGAAGATTCTCTATTATTCCCTTTGTCGTTCCTTCCACTTGTGAATTAAGAAGCCTCTCTTGGATGTATCAACGAAACAGCCTGACCGTTCAGTTGCTGATGGATAATCCCATCCCGCCACTGTTATGTTCAGGGAACTTCTTAACTGATTTGTACTTGGTACTGAAAACTCCAAATCCAACGACTAATAGGTAACAAAGACCAAAAGGCGGCTGAGTTTATTTGACTCCAGAAATAAATCTAAATGGTATATGCGTCCACACACTCAACTTTTTATATAATTGATGTGCTGTCAGATTAACAATCAGATTTGTTTAATTTGATTGAGTAGTATTTATTATCAACTAATTAATGATTTACTAAGTGGACACATATTTTAGGTATCAAACTGTTATATCTAGATCGTAGATTTTCTTGCTACAACACTCACTACTTGAGCACTGGAACGTCCGGACCGTCCAAGTCTCAAGTGAGGACACAGAAGACTAGGGAGAAGGAATGTTATTCCGAACTGTGTATGGTACAAAACTCCCAGGCATTTGCAGTTTTTAGTAAAAGTGAAATCATCATTGCAGTCATCCAATCTGCGTACTTTAGGGAATAAATGAGTTATGTTAATTTGCCACGTTAATTGTGTCCATACTTTTAATACGCTTCGTTCAAATCTCTGGATTAATGTTTATAGCTGTTTATTTGACTTTAATATTCAATTTTTGGTTTTTCCAACAAGATTGATTTGATTCATCGATTCATTTTATTGTTGCTTAAGTATGATTATCAGTACTATTATGAGTTCTAATAAAACCGTTATATTTTTATTTGTAGCGCAATCGATTGTCTACTGCGGCTGATCAATTGGATGAACATGAAACTGCATTAGTTCGAGATTGTGCACGTCAATTAATTACTGCTAATATGCATATACGTAATTTATCCGATGAGTTGGCTAAGAAGTCTGATGCTTTCATGAATCAACAATCTGAAATTACTCGCCTACTTACAAGAGGCTTAGATTTAGAGAATCGTGTTAAGCAGGCAAGCTATATTATTATTATTATTATTATTATTATTATTATTATTATTATTATTATTATTATTATTATTAAAGTTTTTTTTTCATATCACTGAACTGTAAAAGATTGATCATTGAAGGATATTTGTGACATTGTAAGAATTGAATTTACCCAATTGTTAGATTTGTAAATGTGAGGTTTTTGATCTACCACCTTTGTGAAAAAGCCTGCCTTTTCCTTGAAAACGGATTATATATATTGGTGTGCAATGTTTTCAAGGTGATCTTGAGTGCTGTTGGAGGGATGAGGACAGTTGTCACTTCCTGGTTTGCCCCTCCGTGGAACGATATCGCTTCTTAAAGGACCTGGAAAAGAAACTGGGTTAGAGGTAATCTTGATTACATAGGGAGCGTGACCTCAGAGCTAAAAAACGTTTTGTGGTCTGTACCAGACGACCTTTTTGCAGACAGGTTTATGTGTGCTAGCTCTGTACGTAAAAGGCTTTGCCAATGGAGGCCGAAATCCATGAGGTGAGATGGGATGAGGTATGACACTTTTAGAGCTGACCTCTTCTAATCCCACTGTTCCTTTGTAGGAAGGCAGCATCGTTGAATTTATCATATATTTGTTCAATCAACAACACAAATTCTCCCACGGACCATGTGACTCTCGGTTTTAGTCCCCCCTTTTCTTCAGTCGATTTGTTTCGTACGGTAGGACCGCCAAAAAGTCTCCCACCTAATATTGATTGATTGAATCAACACGATATGGAAACTCGCTCAATACATCAAGTTAACGGCTACTATCGGTCTAAAGTTTTACCCACCAAGTGGTCGTTGTTTTAAATCTTGCAAGAACTTTATCTTCGAACACCGATCACTATCCATAATCCGTAATGGTTGTTTTATCAAACAACTCTTGGCTGCTACAGGCTGATTATAAATACTTATATTTGGTGTGTCTTGGATCGGAATTCAGAACACACTCCGTTTTATCTGGAACTGATCAGCTGGATGTACCTGCTTTCCAGTATTGATGTTCACATTGATACTTAAATACAATCCTTTTCACTTTGCGTCCTGGGTTACACTGCTAACCATATATCAAACATTCTATGTTGTAGTTAGAATTATTGAATTTCAGTGTCAAATGAATGTTTCCCAACGATAACAATCGGTTTCACATCTGATGATTATCTATAGTAGATTACAAATTAATTCTTTTTTTGTAAAAAAATGACAATAACTCTTACATTGAAATTTTTATTGGTTCAAAAAAATTTCAATTCTCTATTTCGTGATAAACCATAGTTACGTCTTACTGATTAAAAATCTTGACAGTTCATTCTTATAGTTCCGTATATTCGGAATGTATTTACTTGGTACTTAACCTTTTTTCCGTCGTTATATTGTATGATACAGTCATTTCCAAGCTTCGTAATATCCGTCTGCCAAATTCTGTGAAAAATAATATTCTCCTTAGATTAAATTTCACGATTTTTCCGATTTATAATTTTGTCTATTAACTTTATTATAATAATAATTAGTATTATTATCGTTATCATTACTAATTATTTACTTTTCTTCCTTATGGTCGTTTAATTCGTATTCTAATTGTTGAGAATCACATCTTTCCCTTTTTCTGTTTTTCCTTCTAATTTAGTTGACAGCAGAAAATGAAATGTTAATTGGTCGACTGAAAGAAACGCAAATATCGCAATCATTACTGACAAGTGAATTAAAAAATTTACGTGATAAATATGATGAGTGTCTAACGCTTTATAATGAAGCTAGGGTAATTACTGTTATTTATAATAATAATTCTAACCATGTTAAAACTGTTAGTGTTATTCATTTATTTGTATTGATATTTAAACACTAACAGTTGGGGTGAAAAAGTACTGTACAACTGCTTTGTTTTTCTTTAAATTTCAAAAAAACTATTAGTAGTATTCCCTCATTGCTCGGTTCTATTTTTGGTGTATTTAGCTCTTGTAACAGATATCTTTGGGGAAATATCTTTGATTGCTTCGATTTAGTGATGTAATACGATTACCGCTTATTTGACCCTGTTACCGCTCATAGTACATAGTCCACTGTTCAGGGATCTCCAATCAACTTTATTCTCGTCTCTTCTTTCCAGATACCGCCAACTGGTATTCATAGTCATTCTGTATGCTTTCAACTACCGGCGCCGTGTGTTATTTGGTCTGCCTTGTCTTGCCTTGAGAACGTTGGAGCCTGCCTTGTGATACGGTTCGATGGTTCCCGTAAATCGTGACAAAACCATCTCCAGCGTCTTTCCCTAATTTTCTCCCAAGTTGGTATCTGGTTGGTTCTGTACCACAGTAGGTTATTACTGATGATATCTGGTCTATAGATATGGAGTATATATTGTAGGCAGTTGTTTATGAAAGGGCTTTTCTCATCTCTTATGGTGTTTTTTAATGTCAGCGATTGGTTCTTATTTTTTCTTGACCAGTTTCTATGGTTTATTGTTCTTCTCTGCTCCTTTCTTAATTTAGTCATATAGTTCCTGACATTTCTTCCTCTTGCATCTTTTCTTGCTGTCACTGTGAGGTGTTCCACATATTCTTGTTTATCAGCTCTACGGCTCGTTTTCACTCTTTCGTTTGCTTCTGCATATTCTGCGGATGCCTTTAATACTTCTGTTTTTGTTTGGTTGTTGTTCGTTTCTGTCTTCCTATTTTCCCTTCTTCAATCTTGGTCAAAGTATACATGGAGATATGTTCCTTGTGTTGGTGCCTTTTAGAACCTAACATCTCTTGACACTTTGAAGTTATTCCTTTTTAATCCATTCCTAATTGTTCTGCATAGTGGTTTCCTCTTCTAGTAGGTCTTTTAAGACTTGGAACTTGTTGCTGAGATCTGTCATGAACCCACTGAGTTTGCTAGTTTCTTAAAGAAATGCTGTTTTAAATTTCGTAGTTTTGGCTGTCTAATTATTCATTTTTTTAAAAACTATGTTTTAACTTTACTACTAAGAAGTTATATCAACTCCTCTCTTTATTACGTCCTAAAGTGACCTCAATTTTTCATTCTTGCTTATGTGGTCGATCTGATTCCCCTTAGTGTGTACCGGTGAAACTTATGTATCTTTTTGTATGCACTTATGAGGGAAAATTCTCCCATCTATGATCATGTTATTGAAAGCATAAAGATATGTCAACCTCTCATCATTCTCCTTCTTTTCTCTCAGTCCATGATGTCTTCACATCTGGTGTTGTCTATTCTGACCGTAGTGTTCAGGTTCTCCATCAGGATGGTCAGGTTTTTATTCTGGGGATTTTCTAAAGATGTACTGTAGACCCCCATGAAGCTGACATTCACCATCTTCACCGCTTTCGTTGATGGATGCATAACAGTGGATGACATTCATTGTAATCTATTCCTTTGTTTCGGAGAGTATTTTGATTATTCTGGGGGCATTTCCGTACCCCTGGAGAGCATCAATATAACTCCTTGTGTATATAGGGCATTTGCTCCATGAAAAAATTCAGCAACATTTCTCCTAAAGTTAGTTTTTTCTGTCCAGATTATGTTCAATGGGCTGCACTCATTGAAAGCATAGCCAGGTTTTGTTTTCTCATTTCCAGTGCTATTTAAATGAACCTCCCAGCCTCTCACACTGTTTAGAATATCTGTGTATCTATATTTATTTTTCATCTGGCTGTCAGAAGGGGCATCAGCCTTATGACTTTCAAAGAATCTTGGATTCCATTTTGAACCTTTATAATCTCTTCTATGAAGATCCGTTAACTCTTAGGTCTGTTTAATAATACTCAAATCATTCAATTATTTAATAGTGTTATTATTTTCGAATAAGTGTACTATTATGAAGGCGTAAGTTTTACACAAAAGGTTTTCATATTTGGATTTGGTTACACGGTTGTAAGTGGTTTCTTCATAAAACGATGTTATCATAAGAACAAATGGTGGGATTTTGCTGAATTTTTTCCCATGAATATGTTTCGAAATGTTCGAGTAGTTAATTTTAGTTTTCTCAGCATCATGAAAGCATATTGTGAATTTCTCGATTTAATATTCAGTTTTTCTATACATTGAAACCTTATAAAGCTTTTCTATTTTGAGAAGTATTTGTCCAATGTAACTTAGTGCACGGAGGCTTGTTTATCTCTTTATATTTCTGGAGATCCGAATCATACATACTACCTTTCATTCTTGTACAGATCAGAATTCGATTTTCATCAAGTCCATCGTATCACTGAATATTGATCCGAACTTTCTGTCCAATGAATTTATTTCCCTTCTTACCTCTGATTGGTTTAGATAGTAGAACGCGTAGTTTAAATCAGTGTTACCTATTGTTGTTGCCCAGTTAGTTGTCTAATTTCCTCACAGTAATTAGTGATTTATCTATTTAAGTAAGTGAATTTTGATACTTGAAAAAGTACACTTCAGTGAATCACTGGTGAAAGAAATACAAATTGGAAGTACAAACAGGACTTTTTTTAAGGAAAAATTTCGTCGTACCATATTTGTTCTAATTAAATTCTGTCAAGATTTATACATGATACTATTATTCCACATGTAAAACGTTGCTTAAACTTAAAAAGCATACTTTCGAGATTTTTTAAATATATTTTTACATACCATGCTGTTTTTGAATGATAACCTAGTGTTAATTATTCAGTTGTCAATACTATTATTGGTATGTTTACCAATGTTAAAAGTAATCTTGATTCATGGACATAAATTTAGAGTATTGATAAGAAAATAGATGTTAGCAAGGAAGAGAAAGTTATAAAAACTCATTAAAATTGGATAGCTTGCAGTGTCTGGTACTATATCAAGCCCACTTGGGTTATTCTAGCTTCTGTACAGACCTATTTACTCATTCTTTTTGAGCGATATTTTGACCTTATTTTAGTAATTATTCTCTTAATAACCCTGACTGTTTTTATATGAACGTATGTGTGTACATAGCTTACCTACTCATTACATGTCTGTAACGTATTTTTGTCTGACTATAAATATCGATTCAGTCGTGATCAAAAGGAGTTGGCTCACTCGCCACCTCCGCTTCCCTTCTTCTTTTCCTGTTCTCATACTCTGTCTAAATAAACGAACTCTTTAAACAAATTCCTCCAACACAACCTTTATTTGGCTTCTTAATACCGCTGTCACACAAACGGGGTAGCCTAGGTAATTTACGGAATTAAGTGAAAGATTTATGTCTATACCATGTTCATGCGCTCATCCAAATCGGAGTCAGATCAGCGGGCTAAAAAAGCTATTCCTTGATGAATTAGTTTGTCCTTTTTTTGGTATTTGTTAGACGTTTGGTTTCACTGATTTCTTTGTTCGAAATCTTATTTGTAAGTCACCTCAGACACATTGATTGTTTTATTATTTTTTAATGCTCTTAAATTATAGTTTAATGAAACTATAGTTATGTTACTCAGCGTCATATCCAAATATCCTAGTCCCATGCTTGCTGAGATTTGTTATATGTAATGCGTTGTAATCGTATATTTCAATTATATGATTACGTGAGTCATGAGTCTAAATAATTGAAGTATTTGTAACCACTCATCTGGCTTTTTGATCTTTTGATTAGAGGTGTAAGAACATGTGAGTTTTCGTCGTTTATCGATCTCTCTACAAATACATTAGTGATATTTAGGGGCTTATTATCACTTGTCTAGGCAAAAACATAACTGAAGAATGACCGATAGTCTCTGCTTCTGGTTTTGCCTTTATGTTCTACACATCAAAGAGCTAGTAAGAAAGTTTTAATTGCGGTGTTGAGTCACTGTGTTTAGACCAGTTTGAAGTTTCAAACAAATTTATCTGGTGGTAAGCATTAGCTTATACGAAACGTATACTAAACTGTATAACGTTTACTACTTTAATTTGGTTATAATTTGTTTTTGGATATTTTCGTCAAGATACACGAATTAATACCTTAAAATCTTCTGTGATATTATGCAGACGCATATAATTTTAAAGTATAAACACATCTGTGTAGCTTTCACGGACTCATATCTTTTCGGCGTATTTCATCATCCCAGTTTCATTGATCTCTTTGTTGGATCATGAGTGTATTAGTTCATTCTTTGTGTTATTGTATACAAACTTGTGAACTAAACAATTAAGTTAACCTTAGTGATTGAACCAGGGATGAACTGTTGTTTATGCCAAAGAGTTTGAACATGTGAGCTAGTGATAATGTACAATTCAAATATAATTAAAGAAAATTAAATTCAATTGCTCATGGGTGAATCATACCTGTAAATTCAAAATATTTATCTTTACAATACAATTTTCCCTATCTAGCATTGAACGTTTACTTTTCTTGCTTTAGTCGGAAATTCGGGGTTTACGTAAACGTTCTCGTCGTGGTTATTATCGTCCTAATTCACTTATATCCAGTAGTTCTGTAGTGAACACTGCAGTACTACCCTCACTGCCACCTTCCTACTTAAATGGAGCCGCTTTAACACCACAGTCAGATCCGGATCCTATGTATCACTGTCATCATTCGTCATTATCCGCTAATCAGCTAGTCAGTGATGGCAGTACATCTTCTCTGGACATGTTGACTACACAAAATCCAAGTTCGGATCACTTGGAAACTTCATTAGCTGCAGATTTGGTACATGCAAAAATGAAAGAACATGCGAAAGATAATATGTATGTTGCTTACTATTATTATTACTATTACTATTATTATTATTATTATTATTATTATTATTATTATTATTATTATTATCATCATCATCATCAAACTCTAACAAATTATTATTGTAGCCTTCAACTGTTATCCGATTATATAATTTAACAGTCTTTCGTGATCTAGTGTTCAAATGAACTAATGGATTATGCAATGATTTTAATACTAAAACACCCGTTGTTTGAATTAATCACGATGCTCTACAAAGGTTTTCGACCCAGCAACGCTGTATAACCGTAGTTAAGAGATATACCACGCTCTTTGTTACGCGTTTTACAGGTATAACTAATGGAAATTATGGTCTATTAATCCTCGTCATTTGCCTTTAAAGATTTGAAAACTATTCCGGTTCATAGTAATGCCAAGTTATTTAACTCGAAGATTTACTGTAGTCTATTTGTTGTAATACACTAATTACTGTGAAATCTATTATAGTGCTGGTGTTCATTTGATTTTTCATGCAGTAAATCTGCTTCAATCAATTAGTAACAAATATTTCTAGTTATCGCGCTAAATTTTGTGTTTTTAAACTGTAATTCAGTTCTGTTCGGGTTGCGAATGCTTCATGCACATGTTTCTCTACACTACATCCTAGTTATGGATAGTCTTTGAAGACATTGTAGGTAATTTAAAGTTCTTTTTTTCTTATTTACGTTATCTATTTATTGTGTAGTCAAATTCAATTTTCTCACTCCACTTTAGGAAGCATTTATTTCGAGCAATGGATCAAGTTCGTCATACGCATACACTCAGTAATGATCCGACTACTACTCCCACTGCTACTACCACAATTAATTTTAATAATGACGATAAAAGTAGCCATAATATTACATTAATTGAATCAGGTCTGGAAGATACTGTTTCCAGCAGTGGCTTTGTTAGTGGATCAGGTAATTTCTTTTCCTTAAAAAAAACTATCTGATCACTTTATCATCTTTGTATTCGTTTTTGTTTTTATGATAATTACATGTGATATGGGCATGTTACCAAAGTGTTTATGGTTTTGTTCCAATACAAGCTGTTGTTAGATGTCCAGGACGTTTAGTTTAGTTCTTGTTAGTACTTTTGGTCTACGTGTATTTACTTTATCCATATGTTTTTCCTGAACTTTTCTTTCTTCTGTAATGTAATAACATTACTGTATTATGCATTGTAAATAAGTACATTTCTTAATTGCGAAATATAATCAAATTTAAGAAAATATGTAGGCTACTGTATACTATATATGTGGTGAAGAACAACAAAAACTATCAGTCAGTAAACCTAATGAATAAATACAATTACTTCATCGTTTGTTCCATCTTTAACGTATAATTTTATAAATTTCCACATTTATCATAAGAACTGATTGGTCGGGACGTAATTGATTTTTCAAATATACTCTTCTATGAAGTTGTAAGATTAAAAGTTTGTTTTTAAGAAATAGAAAAAGATGGTTAATATGTTTGGATTTACTTTCTCGTAACATAAAATGTAATAATTTGTATTCTGAATAATATTCGTAAATAATTCCCGTTTTATGTAATTTTCTTTGAGATTATATTTTCTATGTACTTGATTCTTGAGAATTAAACCGACTCCGCTAGACAAATGATCTAAAATGATGAAGTATTGTATTCACAGGAAAATATTTATAATGTGATAAGTGCTTTAGCTTATCTACTAACGTATACTTCTGCAATGTTTGCCCAATCCAACTAAACCAAGATCACGTAAACTTCATTTGCTTAACAATAATGCTTACAGCTCCTGCTTATCTATACGTATTCAAAATGATCAATATGGTGTGCATATGTACGATACACTTTGATCAGCTGAAAAATCAATGGTTCATCGTGTCTAATCCATGTTTTCATTTGACCTTTCATATAATCTGGAGACATCATGTTACTCACTAAATCCTCCTAACTAACATAGTGGCTGAACTGTTTTACGTCAAGTATTCACTACTCAGATTTTTTAGTCCTAGATAGACGTGTAGTTGAACGTTTCTTTGTTGATTATATCAGAAATTACTCCATCATTTTCTAAAATGCATTTGTTTAAATATGTGAACTAGGTTAAATATTTTGACCTGACTACATTCGTACACATACTTTTTATGTTAAATTATGTCTTTTTTCCCCCAGAACCGTCAGATAATCCTCACAAGCAAAGATTCGTTAAAAGTGAACAAACGTCTAATTCTGGAAGTCCGTATTCAACTAGACCATTTATTCCAGGTTTTGTCAGCCCTATTCACTTGACTTGTGCTGAAAGAAGGTATATATATAACATTACTTCATATGGTATATAACAACTCTGTTTATGGATCAAACGTAGTTCCATTTCCATAGTTTACATTATGAATTAATACCAGACAACTGTTTAAAACCAGGAAACACTGAATAACTGTTTCATCCCAGAGTAGGACTCCTCAACCCCACACATCCACGATCCCGCCAGAGATCGGACTCAGAACCTTAGGTTTCGTAATTGAATGTATCACATCCAGACCACAAATGGGGTCTAGTGGTGTGTATATTTAACTGTAATCGATTCGCGACAGAATGAACAACTCTCTAGTGCTTCCTGGTTTCTAATGGTGGTCTAACTAAGATCAGTCCGGAGATTTAACAATCTCCACAGAACCCTTGTACCAGTACTTAAATTTAATGCGTTTTCTATTTAATAAATGTAATTATGTCAAAATTAATCAATGTTGGTAAAATTGTATCATAGTTGCGTTTAAATTTTCATCTTTACCTGGGTACCGTCTTCATTTTTTGTTCTGACTGTTGACAGTTCTTTAAAACCATTTTTTTCATTTTTCGTTACAGTAATATATGCTTGATTAAGTGTAACGTGGCATCTAAATCCGACTAGCTACTTTCTATTTGGGGATTATTTTTCGGCGTTGTTTTTGTTTAAGTAAGATAAAAGTGGTCTAACGGGGGAATACTTTCTGTCTTCCGTTTGTATCAGTGAATAATTATCATTGAAAAAGCTAGATATTTATTTGTTGACCCAGAATTTCTGTCCCATATCAATCGATAACTGATTACAGAATTATTTAGTGAATTTATTGGTTGTCATATTTGTTATCTTGTGTATGATACATCGTGTAGATGAATAAATACATGTATAGCCTCATCGGTTATTATATCACGACCTCAATCATCTCAGTATTTTACTTCACATTATCTTAGTCACAGTAAATAATCAAGATCATCGTTCTCTTTTTAATTATTTTGTTTAGAAAGTCTCATCCAAATTGACGTTTGCTATTTTTTTTGGGTGATAATTCAGTATTTCTGATCGGTGTAGTTCGTCCCCAATTTTTTTAACCTCCTTAATTATAGTGATAATAGTAGCTTTTGATAATATTATTTCTGCTGTGTTATATTTTAAGTGGTCATTAGTACCAAATTGCACGGTTTTGAGTAAAATTTGTTAATAGTAGAAGCTGTATATGTAAACCAATAAAAATACAGCCAAACCATATCCACTTTCCCTACAATAACATATAACATCTTGCTAAGAATATTACGTATTGTATTGTATTACGTATGGGGTGTTGCTAATTCATCAGCCACTTTATGTATTTACTTTGTATCTTTGCTAGGTATACATATATTTCTCGCTCTCTCTATATATCTATCTTTTAGTAAATCTGATGCAGTAAATTATCGCTTTCGTCAATCTACAAATCCGATTTATTTACTAGAGTCTGAAAAACGACATAGTTGGTTAGGTTGTGACGTAACTTCTGATTCATCTGAGAAAGGATATTATTCGATTCCTGATAGTGGACTGAATTTTCAAAACAGCTTTGATGATAGTCTACTTTCATGTGACCCGAATGTGGTCTGCACTAGTAAAGCATATTGCAAGTAAGTTTCTAAAGTCAATTGTGTTAAACATTATACTCTATTGAATGAAATCTGATTAATTACCATCTATCTCAATGTTAATTGAAACAATTAAATAATTATTTATTGGTATTACAGGAAACTAGACCCTCAAGTTATTTTCCGTCTATATATATATATATATATATATATATATAACTGGGGGTAGAGACGGTTAATGAACTGTTTTAATTTCCTAGGTGTTATGACTTGATCAAGGTCGTCGCCAATTTGTTATGACTTTACAAAATAAACAAAGGACGTATCCTAATTCGCTATCGGTTTTTATGTCCGGCTTCTGTCATGTGAATTATCCACCAATGGAATTACGAATTTCTCGACCTTAACACTGTGACAATCAATGACGTTCGATCAGTATGAGTAATCTAGCGTCCCTATTGGTCCTTTATCCGCCTAGCCCTTCCACTTGAGTCCAGAACACCAATTACAGCTTCTGTTATGTGAATCTATGCGAATCGTTTATTTCAAGCATACTCGGTTTATATAACAGACAGATAGACCACATCACACCATAAAGTAGAAAATAATATTTGTACAAAATCAAGCCAAATGTGGCTGTGAACGTGGGAGACAGTAATCAATAAACTGAGTATAATTTAGGAACAATATATCGTATAATAATAATCAATAGGTCAAAATGAAGCTTATAATAAGATGAATATAGATATACATAATCTAGTTACTGAATAGTTATACAATAAGAATATATGTAGAATAATCGTCTAACAATAGGTCCTGGGAGTTACCCGTACTTATGTCTTCGCTAGGACATAACACTAGCATCTTCTTATACTCTACAGTTGTCATTTGGAAATTATATAGATTAGTTTTTAGTAACATGGTGTTTACCATTTCTATTATTTGGCGCAGCTTAATAGATGTCATAATGGAAGTAGTTACATTAGTTTAAATTCAAATTCTTGTTAACAGCACTAAAGAATACAGAATAATAAAATTTCCCTAATTACAAAATGTTTCCCCACTAATTTTGAGTTACTTTTTTTTACATTCATCAAAAACTGGTTTAGAAGTAAAGACGTATAACTCTTCAGTAATAAACCTGAAGTTCTATCCCCACGGCGCATACTTCGGTTTGGGCAAATGTTTTATATAAGTAGCCACAGCATCATAAGTTCACCTAGAAGTTCGGTACACAAATCTGTTCGTTAGGTTATATACATTTATCTGCATTCAATCGTCATTTATAACAACAATATTTAAAGTATTTACCATTGCATGGAATGTATATTATTCTTGCTTTTATCATTATTATTATTTAGACTGCCTCAACGTTTGAAGTTAATTAAACCGTTAGATGGCTCTAATGTTCTTCAACATTGGCAGCATTTAGCTACTCCTAGTTTTACCCGAGCACTTTTTGATGCCCCACTACCTGGAGTTCAAAGTCGTGCTGGAGTACCAGATTCAACCAACACGAACTGTTTGACGATGGCTAGCGCTACCGACTCTCGACAACGTCCTGTTTCAGTCGGATCATCACCTTGTATTTCAAACAGTTCTCAAATTCCACTTAAATGCAGTAGTTTGACTGCTCATTCGCCTTCGGATTTACCACACGGTAATTCTCCCTCTACTTTATAATAAATAATAATTATTGTAAAATATCTCGACGAGGCCTCGTGATGTGGGCACTTGCCCACAAATGCCCTGGTACGGCCGAGAGTAGACAGGCCCCGCCCTCTCTCTCTCTCTCGAAATGCTCTCACACGACTACACGTATATTGCTTCTGTCAGGGGAGTCCTACTCACTGCCTTCTCGTGGCGGCGGTGTTGTTTACGAAAGTGAGAGGACGAAAAGCGATTGTTCAACGCTTTGACCGGGTTGATGGACGCGGTGAGTCCACCCATGGGAGTTGGAAAACCCTGATTCCAAACCAATGATGTACATGGGCTCCAGTATCCTGAAGGAACAATAGGCTTATGAATCAATCATTGGTCACCGGCTACCATGGGACTGCATCTCCTTACGATACTCCACTGCCTTATGGATCGGATCTTTCGGTCAAAGGCTCCGGGTGTGGCCCCCTAAGAGAACCACTTGCTTCGGTTTGGGCACCTGGGCAGTATCACAGCCCTCACAAAAATCAAATGAGATTTGTGTGGCGCATATATATTTGTACCAATATTTATGTATTCAAATAAATAAATAAAGCACTGTCTATGAACAAACATTGATTCCCACCAATAACGACTTATTTATAGACTAGAATAAAAATGAATCTTACTATGTATTATCCAAGTAAGCACTTTGACGAAGTACATTGCAAATTTCACATTTTCAAGCAAAATCTTTCATGAGACCACTCGTATGCTTTTATTAAAAGTACAATTATAATTTGTTATAGCTCAATGCCAGTTACAAATCTAGTCATTTTTATGTGTGCTTATGAGCTCACATGATTTGAAAACATTCTCTGCAAGTAGATGATTCTTCATTGACATATAATAAGTTCTAAGAGTTGTCATTTGTTTTTTTTCCTAATGGTCTTGAATATTGAAATGAAGAACACAGCTGATGTGGTTAGTTGTTTTTATCTATATGTTTTTGATTTTCTGATCGATTCAACATTATTGTGTTTTTTTTATGCATATACAAAACAGGTCAACCAAATATGAGATTAGTTCAAGAATCGTTAGAGAAGTGTACTAATCTAAAGTAAGTTAATTAACTTGCTTGATTGGTATATCCGTAGAACAAATAAATCACAGTGTGTTCTATTCAATCAAATTTATGTATACATTAACGTATCCAAAAATTACTGATTAGAGAATGTAGTGTTATATGGTGTGCATTGATATTATTGAATTATCTAACTTACCTGATGATTATGTGGTGGATGCTACTTATATTGACAGATATAAATAGTAGTAACACCAATCAGAGTTGGAATTTCTGTCAAAAGAGGATTGCGAAGATTAAACTAAGGAAAATAGAAAGGAATGTGCTACAATTTAGGAAACTTTTGTTTGTAATTGATAGTAGTAGTTATTATTATTATTATTATTATTATTGTACAGACGCTTATTGTATATTCGAGGTTTTGTTATGATCTACAAAAGTATAGAAGTACTTGAAATAAGTGTATGCTCTTGGGACATGAAGATTCCTCCTACATCTCCATTATCGATCATTGTTAAATCTTTTCTTTGAACTGGAATGCAATAGAAATCAATTTTCGGTCAACTATAAATCATATTCATATCAATGAGATATAGTTGTACGCTTCTTTATGTTCTTAGTATTTGATATACTATGTAATCTTTTTTTCATGCAACCTTAAAGAAATGCTGAAATTAGTATTAAGTTTGTTGTTATTTGGTGTTACATCATTCTGCTTGAGATCTTTTGTACACTATACTAGCTGTTATTAATAGACATATTAGAACTGTTTCAAATTACTTTATGAACATTGATCTACTCTTTTAAAAGTTTCTGTTTACCATTTGATGAGTCATGCAATCAATTGTGACAGAATTATACGTCTATCGGTCTACTTCGGTTTGACAAGATTAAAACAATCGTATGCATAATTATGTTATGTCTCAGTGTATACTGCATAATCTTGTAGGTTTGAACTACTCAAGTTAATTGTTTCATTTTCTGATCGTGGATTCTACGACAACTTTAACATTGTCGATCCAATGTTACTGTATAACAATGAATAAACTTATTAGGAATTGCTGTTCAATACAATTGATATCTTAATAAGTATCCTCTGTTCCTGATGATATCTCATGCGTTTTATGTGTGCTAGACACTCCAGAAATAGATCGATATCTTGTTCATAATTCATGTATTATCTGATTTGTCACAAACCCTTTACAATATTTCACTAGGTTTTAACTAGATTTAAACACGTGTAAAACAATTAAGTTTATTTTCTGTATGCTTATTTGTATATTTAAGATTTCTGACTGAGTTTGCTCTACTATTTATCGCGTAATCCTAACTCTGAAATGCTGTTATGCCTGAAACTAAATCGATTCCGCGGTAACGAACGAAAGCCAAATGACACAATGACACGATAAGCTATTCTAATCTGTTGTCCCAGGCCCCGCTAACTAGATGAAGAAGTCCAAGGCAAGTAGGGGAATATATCTGTATTCCGTAAGCAGCCGAGTACAAGCAATCAAATAAGGGAAAAAGTCAAGCGCATTTATACAGTAACAAATTGTCCTTGAGCACCATTAGTAAATAGCACACATAAAGAAACAAAGGACCAATAGCGGTTAAGATAGTTTACAGGTGGGAAATATGACGTGAAGGTAAAAGAGCGCTTTTGGCGCGAAAACAGCTAAATTCAAATTTTCAAAATAAAACTACAAGATTAAGCCATTTACCAAGTAAGTTCTGGGGATTTGACATCCCCAACAAATGCATAATAATGACTGATCACAATAGTGATCAATGTCATGTTTGTCTAACTCTTCCTAGTGCTGATCGAATTCTATTGATCAAATCGAAAATGGGTCTAGTAGTTTAAATGATTTAGTGTTATTTAATCGCCGGGAAATCATGGATTCAGGTTATCTCCTACTTTGCATTCGTCAATAAACCGTACCTGTAACCTTGAAGAGTACCAACTATCATAAAATCTATTTCAAAAAGGCTTTCCTGGCGACTACCTCCAGTCACCTAATGTGAAATATTTAAATAGCAATCCTTGGACCTTCTTATTTTAAACGCTGTTATCTATCTATCTATCTATATATATATATATATATATATATATATATATATATATATATATATATCCAACTAAATAGTAGATATTCACTTAGTTGTTTATTCTTTCCTTTAATTGTTTTTTTCAAAATTAGCTGTATTTATCAACCGATAAAAATCTTGTAGTAGGTTCTTTCATTTATTTCTACCGTTAAACAATAATAATAATTGATGCATTTAATTTATTGTTTTAAAAAGAGCACATCACATAGAATTAATACCTCTCCCATTCAAATTTGTTCGTTTACTGTAGGATTCAGTATATTATTTTTATTTGTTTGAATTCCATTATAGTGCTTTGTACTTAGTTTGTTCATTTAACTGTTGTGTTTTTGTTGTATTTGTACGAACTAATGGTTACTTGGTACTTGATTCCCTGCTTATTACGAATTCCAAATATAATACTTTCATTTGTGCTTATCTAGTTCTACCCGCTTTATATTGCACTATTTTGGGAATTCCTAGTTAGTTCATTAATTCGGAGAGTTCTAATTATCATAGTTGATCACATACAATTAGGTGTTTTATTTTAACCCAGTAGATATATATTAATATAATAGTATTGGACTACTGATTGTGTATTACTTTTTCTCTTATATCTAAAATTATAGAAAGTTAGGTGTATCATCGTTTATTGTTATTTTTTAAAATGTTTTTATATATGGAAAAAAGTCAGTCTATGTGTTTATGTGGAGTAGTAGTGCATTGAATTAAGTCTTATTATTTTTTCTTGTTATTAGTTACACGTCTAGTTGTGCTGCATTCAACTGTTTCAATAAGCTTATTTAAAGTTATGACATTTTAAAACTTAGATAAGTATTTGTTAATGTAATCATATGATCAATGAACTTTTCTTAATACGACATTGTGATATATGGTTATTTAATAAGTAGAATATTATATAATATACCTATAATGCAATTATTGGACTTATTAATTAATGAGTTATTATTATTATTATTATTTGTTTAATATTTTAACTATTCATCGAACAGATAACTAGATAGAGAATTACACAAGACGCGCGATGATGGCTGATATAGGAGGTTAGAATGAAAGTTAGGAACGGCCAAATCAAGAGAGAACAATTTAATCTCACTGTGCTCATGGGGTGTGGCAAACTGAACTGATGTACATATGTAGCAAGTTCTACCTTGCGTCCGACTGACTGACATAAGAAATAATGAATTAAAATGAGATACATCACACTAATTGAAAGAATAGTGAGAAAAACAAGATTAAATAAAGATATTTATCATTTATGAGTTGCAACATTCTCTGGAGAATTATTTAGAATAAAAGAATTCTGGACAAATGTTTCACACTCTATTTCCAAACTATTCAGTAAAGTGGACACCCATAATATCATATTCAAGATTATGAATCTAAAGTCTTCCTATTTTATAATAATATTCAATCGCTCTTCACCTGCTATAGCTCTCTTCAAATTGCGAACTAACTAATCCCCCTCCATAAAATCACTCAAATAAATTATGCTGTTCAATAAATTTCTGAATAAAAGATTATTGTACCGTATTTCAGGTAGCTTTACTTTAATAACAATAAAACGTTTTTAGTAGTAGTTCGTACATCTAGTCCATTATTAGTCAGTGTTTACCATATAGTTGAACTGAAAGAGATTATGTATTGGGATAATAGTAATTATAGTTCATCAAAAAATAATACACTAATATCATTAACGAGGAAATTGTAACATTTTATTATAAGAAGTAAATAGCAATTCTGGTGAAAATAGTCTTAATTACTATGGTCTTGAATGTTATATATGATTATTTTCCCATGTCATCAATTTGAAGACATATCCATAGTTCCTTTTATTATCTTTTAGAAAGAGAGCGAAAAAAGCATTTGAGTAGAATAAGATTTATTCAGTTGATTTCTTTGGGTTCTTTTCAACTGTTTACAGTTTATGATATTTGGAAATCGAAATTACAAATGTTACCGATTTATCTTAAACTTTTTACATCATGAAATTCTTCTTAACTCTCTCGTCTTTGATTACTACATCATCATATCGTTTTTTCAACTCTCGTCTAGTTCATTTGATTTCGTTTTTAACTAATTGAGCTTTGTTTATTTAATTTTTATTTACTTTTAACGTTTACTCATTATGCAATCACTTATTTCTATCCTTTCGATCTTTCAATGCTTCTGAATGCTCTTCAACGGATATAGTTATAATCAATTCATGTAGACTCTTAAATCTACCATACTGATGTTTGTTGAAGATAACTTTCGATCAAGTTCATTTGTGTTTGTATTGCAATTCACTTTGTAATTTTGACTCATAAATATTACAGTTTATAATAAGTTGAAGAAAATTCGGTGGATTGATATAAATTCATACCATTCTGCTCAAATCTCTTTTCTTGCCTTCTGTTTCTAGCATTAAGGATTTCTTAAAACTTGACTAGACTTCAATTCTCAAGAGTTTACAATTTAGTAGTTGAGATGCAGCTCATTGGTTTATATGCTTGGTTTGCCCTACTCCTGCTTTCATTTGGGGAGCTGGTTGGTATCGCCAGTCCTTTTGTAAAGCTTATCACAATAAAATAAGAGTACATCTATCTGGACTTAGTTCGTTAGGTTTGCATAATGATTAAACATGTTATCTCACACAGATTGGGACTGTGTTCACCGACTAAATGAATTTATGTTGTGCGACTGAGCATTTTTTTTCAAACTACATTATTTACTGTAACCGAAACACATTCGGTAAATAAACCACTAAGAAACAAAATATGTTGTGAAAACCATGTTGGTTTATTTAATCAAAAGAGTTAACTGATACACCGACAATGAACCCAAATTGTTTCCAATTTTATTTACTTCGGTCATATTACAAATTTCAGCTTAATTTTACTCTGACGTCTGAAAATAATCTGTGGAATGAATGCATTTGAATTGAATAATATTAACGATTTAATAACTAGATAGTTTAATACTTTTAATTTATTTATTCCTTCTGTGATTTTATCTGTGGTGTAAATCGTATATATGTTAATTTTGTAATGATTTTACGTAATTTTTCGTTTGGTTTGTTAAGTGTTGTATTCATAATACCTATGAATATTCAGTTTTAATGTTGCTACTTTAAATATAAAAATAAAAATATAATTTGACACTTTGGTGTTTCTTTAGATGTACATCTTCCTCATATAACTTATAAACCTATTTAAAAATAGAATATAATCTAGGGTAATTATGTACAAAATGTCTACTTGGTTAAGAATATCGGAGATCTTTTTTGTTAGCGAATCGTTGTGGATGAAGTGCAGTCATTTATTTGTTTGGTTTTTTTCTTAGTGAACTATTTTTGATATTCTTGTCTATGGTTACTGTCGACACGATTGCACTTTAAATCAGGACTAACAAATTACGTGAAAACATTCGTTTCTTCCTCATTTAAAAACGGATGTTTTCCAGTAGACTCAACATAAGAATATAAAACAGCCAATTAGTGATTTATTTCTTGTAAAACTCCTTGATTAACTGATATCAGTTATCAGTTAGAACTATTGTTTCTTGAGAATAAAACATTTACTCCTTAAAATCTCAAATCATGGTCCGATTATTAATCTAATTTTAGGTAGGTTTTCTGGGGGGGAGTATATTGTTTTACTATATTTGTTACTAATATGTACAACTTAGGTTTCTTTTTTGTCATTGTTCTTATGTTTTTCAGCCGATTTGGATTCAGTTCATCAACATGTTTCCTCAATAATGGACTGAGAACACGATCGTTAGATCATTTAGTGGCAGGATCCTCATCCTCATCGTACAATGATAAAGATAGTAATAATAAATTTATCCAGTTTAATCAAGCGTTTGACCACGCAAAAAGTGACGAATCTGCCTCATCATCATATCTTACCTCATTTTCCTTAACTTCATTAGTGTCTGCTTTATTGCCGTTCACTACTACTGTTCTCCCATCATCAGTATCATCATTTGATCCAAAAGGTGTCACAATCAACAATAAATTAACAAAAGCAAAAACACAACACGGTGAATCAACACATATACGATCGAAATGTCCATCATCATCAACAGCAGCTACCGGTTTACAAGGTTTACTTGATGTAAATAAAGAATATGCTGATTCGTCGAAATCATTATTACATAGAACGTCAACATCAAAATCAATTGATCGTAGTGCATTATCTCCAAATAGCAATGTACCAAATCCAATTGCTCTTCCTAATCCCCAACCTCCAACATTAATTTCTCCTAGCGTTAATCGTACTACTATTTCACATTCACGTCCTGTACGTACTAGTAACTTGACAGAAATCACTGAAGAGTCTAGTTCACCACCATAATCAGAAAATGGTAAAAAATCATTGATATCTTCGGAAAATCAAAAACAATCACAATCTGAAGAAGTAGTAGTAGTTCCAGAAAGGTCGAAAAATTCGAAGTAGTAGATTCATTTATTGATGGAGTTGTTGTGTTATTGTCACATGTAGTATCAAACATATAGAATGGATTATTTATTATTATATCATCATTTGTGTATCAGTTTCATATGAAAATTTTAGTCTTTCATTATATATATATATATATATATATAATACTTGTGTTTTCCTATAACATATATCTACTACAGCTATCTTTATCAGTCACACATAAAGACAATACAAATTATGTTATAAAAATTACTTTTGTATAAAACAGAACAATTCTTCTAAGAGAGAGAGAAAGATAGAGAGAGAATAAATGAAATCTGATCATTTATCGTTTAATTACCACTACCTCTTTCCATTTTCCTCTATGTTTTCGTTTGTCACTTTAATTTTGTATTTTTATTTTGTCCAGTTTAATTAGTGTTGAGGGTATGTTTTGTTCAGTTGTTCAGTTCTTTTATTTTCATAATTCATGTTTTTCTTCAATATATTATTACTTGCATTTGAAACTATTGTTGTTTAGTTTATTTCCATTCCTTATTGTTTTCTATTTTCGAATTTATAATATTTCATTATCCCTTATTGTATAAGATTGATAATCATTCTAGTATAATAGAGTTATAGTAAAGCATGTTATGTAATCATCATTGATCACACTAGAAAATAAACACTTCATGACAATAAAGTTGAATTTTATCGTCATTACGTTCTACTAATGCTACTAGTTTGTTAAATTAATAGTGTTATTTTGGTTTTTTAGAAAAAAAATTTGCCATCGCAACTGGTTGTGTTTTGTTGCAGCTTGTCTGATTCCTCAGACATTTGTTGTGTACCTGTTTATCTTACATTTTGTTTATTGCCTATAACCCAGTGACATTATTTTAGCTCCTATTTATATGAAAATAAATCGTTAAAAGTGAATGGTAATTGTTGATTCCATTTTGTTATCGAAGTAGTAGTTACACAAGTGATTTGATACTTTTGCAATCATAATGGATTTGTGTTGCAACTATTATTATTATTATTATCTTTATACATAGTTATTAGGTGTTGCTAACGTATTTCCAGCAGTTTAGTTATAGAGTTTATATTGTGAATTAACCAACTTGTGCAAATGATTCGTATCTGGTTCAATGGGTGGGGACACACAGGTAGGGACAGCCAACGTATTTTAGTACGAAAATATGAAAACTGTACACTGATTACTTCATGTACGAATTTTTAATCATTTGTCTTCCACATTCTGTATGATTCTTCCGATTCACAATTTCTTTCTAATTCCGTTTCTGTTTTCTCTTCAACTTGATCTTCTTAACCTTCTGCTACCAGGGTTTCTGTCGACATAATTAGCATACACCACATAGTTACTAAGAAATCTGTATGAAAAGTTCAGTTCAAGTGGCAAGCTGAAAACTAGTTCAGACAGATTGATGAAATTTGTTTCTTGCAATAGTCTTGTTCATTCTCTTTTATTTGAAGATATTTTGTCTAGTTACAGCATTGTATTTATGACCGTCTATATCTTATTGTTCAACTGACACGTATGTGAAGTGTGTCAATTGGCTAAGCTTGGAAACTATTTCTCATTCTATCCACCTTCTATGCTTTTGAGCTTTTAATTATGTCTAATGAATCTAAGTAATTCACATAACACATCGGGATGTTCATACCCCATCCAATGGGATAGTCCAAACTGCCTAAAATGGAATTATATCACTGATGTTACCATTATTTCTGTTGATTTATTTTTCATGTCTCCATGCTTACATAGTATGTCTTATTAGGGTTATACATATTTGTTCCTAGTTTCTTGTTCATCGTAACTTACTGGATTAAAGTGACAACCCACCAACTGTAAGATTTACTATCGAGAAAGTTGTAGTATGCACAAAAGGAGTAACATATTTTATGAAGGAGGAAAACGGTAGATAAACCAACGAAGTTATGCAGGTAAAATGAAGTAAAAAGTCCGGTTAGCATGAGATGTTTAAGCTAACCAATTAGAACTTAGATCAGAAATATGGTTAGGAGTCCCTAACTAGCGCGTCCTTATAATATCCTAACCTGATTTTGTCAACTTAAAAATTCTTATTCGGCATATAAACTTAAGAAAGTATGTATTACTTCAATACATTGTGTTGATTTTATCCTTTGAGAATGAAACACGTTGACTCTATTGACTAGCTTTTAAAAAAGGCAAACACTTAAAATTGAACAATTCAAACTGTATCGTCCTTTTTATTTGAATAAATGTGTATGAGCTCAGCTACATGGATGTTTGCAATGTTAGTACTTCCCTTCACTGGAAGACAAAATTTTGAAACCTTAAATCTCAGATTTATCAGTCTAGTCTCCTTCTTAGTTGATTAGAGGATTATCAATCAATCCCTTTTACGTTGGCTTCCTTAAGTTGTCGAAGTCTTCAATAAAACTTAATGATTTCAAAATAAATAAGGAAATACCCGTGTTACGTTATTCATACATGTGTTGTACATTCATTTGTTAAGATATCATCATCCATACTCTGATTGCATTCAGTAATCTCCACAAATCCTCTGTGGTATGAGTAGAGTTTTGCTTACTAATCAGAATAAGTTAATAAGGAAAACCTAGCATCTGATGCGTTTTTCACTGAACCTTATAATTTATAAATAAATAGTTAGTAAATGTAGAGCGTAATTATATATATCTTGGTGATTATATTTCCTTTTGTTTTAAGAATGTTACATAATATAATAAGAGAATTGTTGGACGAAATCTTGTACATAAGCAGTCTTATCAAATACTATTTTCAGTAAATTTTTGCTAAACGTCATTACGTATAAGTGGGATTATCAGCTACTATAATGAGAACAATGGTTGATTAGTCTAAAAAATTGAATGAACTAGTCGGAACGTTTATTCATTAAAGATATACATTTCAGTGGGACTTGATTGAAATATGCTTAAACGGCAAATTTTCAACTGTGAATAGTTGCACTCCAGTAACCACCTACATACAAATTCACATCAATAAGTTCATTCCTGTATTGACAAAATTATCATTGGAGTTTTGAATTATGTTAGAAATATTTAGTAAACTATGAAAGGTAACTTGTTATCTATCATTTGTAAAACTCATATAACATCAATAATTGAATTGTTCAATAAAGTTGAACAGTACTAGTCAGTGTGTGGTTCATAATAATATGTTAGTTAGTTAGTTCAGTTTTTCAATTTGAATTTCATTTCATACCAATTCGCGTCTTCGTATATTGATTCATACTACTTACTAATTTCCAGTAGCTTGTATTACTATTAGCCACTTCTGAACATGTAATCTCATAATCTATGCAATGTACTGAAAAGTTATTAAAGAGAAGCAACTGGCGTAATTTGTGCACGTTAGAAATATATTTTATTTCTGTCAACTGCTAGTATTGATGTGAAATAGCTTCTTCCTGTCTTCCAATTCGCTGGATGCTTCTTAAATTAATTCTTATATTATCATCAGAAATAAACCCCTTGAGGCGTTACTAACATTTCAGATTCCTCATCGTTTATGGTTGTTATTCTGATTGATTTCATTCTTTTTTTTATCTAACAACACTGTTCGCCGACCGATCTCATGTTTCAGTGTCGAGATTTTGCACGTTACTCAATCGTCTGGTTAAAATCCTCAGAAGTTTTCTATGAGTACAATTTAATAGCATTTATTTATTTTAATGCATATGGTTATTGAAAAATCTTATGCAATTAATGTTTTTTTTTTGTGAGTTGGAATAACGTAGGAAAATCAGTTAACGCAGAATAAGATAAATTCATTCTTATTTCTTAGCTATTCATTTGTTGCTTGCAATCGTGTTATTATTGAAATATCATATATATGTATTCTGATGATCTTTGTCGTTTTGATTTTTCAGTCATCACTGTTTATCAGCTAATAATAATTTATATTCCCTTATGAATTTCGGTTGTTAACAGCTGGTAAGAAACCACGGAGTCGAAATGAAGTTTTCTTATTGTACTTTGATAGTTGTTTTGATTCTATCCATTTTCCTCTAATCTCAACTGCTTTTTTTGTAATCAATAGAATAAAAGAAAAATCAGATTGTTCACTTTAATTTTGACTGTTAATTAACTTTTTTCTTTTTATATTTTGGAAAATAATAATAATGAGGCATGTCTTGGTATGGTGTTCTAATAATACAATTAGTTGGTTTACTAATTAACTGATAACCAATGGACCATTTCTGATTGATGTTGTCATAATAGACGACTATTCATTTTAAAATTTAAGCTATAATTTGCAGGACCTGTTACCCCACATTGGACATAGACCGCCGATCAGAGGTCTCCAAAGGGCTATTTCATTATCTGTTTCCAGATATTTCTTGATGTCTACCTCCATTTCACTGGGTTGTGATTATTTGGTCTGCCTTGTCTTGCCTTGGGAACTCCAAGTTGGAGCCTGCCTTGTGATACGGTTCGATGGTTTCCGTAAATCGTGACAGGACCACTTCCAGCGTCTTTCCCTGATTTCCTCCGAAGTTGGTATCTGGTTGATTATTTACCACAGTAGGTTATTACTGATGGTATCTGGTCTATAGATCTGGAGTATATAATGTAGGCAGTTGCTTATAAATACTTGTAATTTTTTTGGTGATGTTGGTAAGAGTTTTCGAGGTTTCAGCTCCATACAATGAACTGTTTTGACATAAGTGAAAACTCAGACTTTCTTGTAGAGTGACAGTTATTTTGAGTCCGTGATGTTCATTAGTTGTAGTAATGGGTACTGTTATCCTGTCAATTCATACCTTCACATCTGAGTCAAATACTCTTGGTTTGTCGATAATGCTGTTCAGGTTCGTGAAGAATTCCACATATTCTAGAGAAGAGCTTCACTAGCAAATGTGACTTGGTCGGTACTGGATTCTGTGCCCTTTGTGATCGTGCGTTTACGCTTGTTGATGATGAGCCCTATTTTTGTGGAAGGGGTTGCTGCACTAACTGATTTGTGTATGCGACAACAGGGTGAATCTATCTACAGAGTTCAAAGCATCTTGATGTATCGAATGAGTCCATTGTATTTTGTATTTTTTCTGAAATGAGTAATTTTTCACAATCGATTTAAGAACGGCAAGAAAGACAGATGAGAATAGTGAGCCTTATCTAGGACTATTGCT